TGCTCCTGGAAGCCTTCTGGCTTTAATGTTTGAGATATGCATTCCACCACTCGAGTTCTTCTCAGCAATGGTGACTGATGGATTGGTAAAAATGGCTAAAGATTCTTAAGCTCTGCTGCCAGGAGCTCCATGCCAAGCACAGAGATGTCTGACTCAATGAAAAGGCAAACACTCTGAAACTCTGCAGCAATTAAACTGTTTGCTAAGGCTGTTGGCCTTTCAGCTCATCCTGTCACAGCTATCAGAGCTCTACGATTCAGGGCCATGAGGTTTCTGTAGAGATTGAGAACAGAGAATTCCTTGAGCTTCTGAAGCAGCACCACCAGGAAAAGTCAATTTTCTTCACTCCATCCCTTCTCAAAGTCCATGTTTGGCTTTTGATGCCCATCTATCTGCATTTGTAAGAACGTCTAGCAGACAAGCAGGAAAAAAAGCATTAATCACTTCCCATCTCCAGCTATCTGACCTTCCCAATTAGCTGCTTTTTTCCTAAAGTGTGGGCAACTGCAGTGAAGCACTCACATCATCAAATACACATTTACAGGGCATTTACTCTGGACTAGAAATTTTATTTTTATTTTGCTGTATAAAAATAAATTAAATAATCCAGCTCCCTCTTTTGGGATGTTTCCAAGACAAAAGAGGAGTTTCCCCTTTTCTGGTGCCTATCTTAGAAATTAAGGTTGTGTTTGTAGCACCAAAGCCACAGTTTTACCTCTGGGCCATCTCACACTCCATACTTTCAATTAATTTTGTATTTAGACACCTTATATTAAAACTACTTGAAAAAGCAATGATGAAGTTTCTTGTCCAACAAGTGAGACTGAAAACAGGCATTCAGTGTCCTAGAAAAAGCTGTAACACTTCCCTGTGGACCACTGCTCTTCTCCCTGAGATTGTCAGGAGCACCCAACCCCCCTGCTGTGTCCTTCCTACCATTCAATGGAAGGAAAATGCCACTAACGTCATGATTAATTTCTTGAAATTCTAGGGCATCTGGACTTCATGCTGTCATGGAAACTTTGCTGTGCTGTTTTTCTAACTCTGCCTTATCGTGCCCAATGTTGAGATTAAAACAAAACTTGATCTTCCCATCAGCACCGTGCACAAGCAAAGGGAAGGGCTCCAGGCTGCCTCCTCAACAGCAACACAAGATAAATAAATACATGGTCCTAAACCCAATTCATACCTTGTGGGGAGAGAAAAAGCTTTTACAGAACTTAACTACCTAAAACCCAGTGCACTCCAACTTATTAATTTTTAGTACTGTGGCATTACATTGCACTGTCAAAATCTTTAAGTCAAATCATCAACACTGATCAAAATCACTAGGTACACATTAAATTTAGTGTGTGAAATTGGATTTTGACAAGCATAACATCTATACATAGAATCTGAATACTTTTTTCAGCTCAGTAACAACTAAGCTCAACTTAATTCAAGAAGTGAAAGAAAAATGCCTTCCTTTTCCAAACTAGCAATAAAACTGTTTTGTATGAACAATCACCTAAAGCAACCAATTATGACACAAAGGGTCACCAAAAAGATACTCAGATCAAAGATTTCTTTTAAACAGACCAATTTTAAATACGTTTCAACAACAGATCATAAAAGAGCATCTTTAATTTTAATGCAAGACTTCAAATGCACACAAATAGCACACGAATTGCATTTCAATATATAAGCATAAAATCAGACAAGTGCAACTTGTTAGAAAGTTAGAAATACTTACTACATATATACCCATCAGGAAAACCAATATACAAAAAATAATCCAACAAGAATTAAGTCATCAGGTTATCCCTGAAACTGGCTGGATGCTCTGTGCTAGGCTAGATGCTGACCACCTGAATTAATGCCTGCATGATGAAAACAAACCAGGCAGGTCCAAGAGTTCCCACTGTTGATTGCAGTGAGGTGATTTGTTCTTGTAAAGCTGCCAAGACAGTCACTGAAAGCAGCTCCAAGACCAATCTCATTTAAGAAGCACATTCAATCTTGAGATTGATTTTATGATTTCATTTTGTTCTCCTCCCCACCCCATTTGAAAATGAAAATCTTATAAAATAATTTCAATGTTAACATTACTCAGCTCTTTTAATGTTTCAAAACACTGGGATTCACAATGACTCAAACATTTGGCTTACACTGAAAATCCATATGATTAATATTTGTCTGAGATCTAATGCAAGGAGGGGGGAAAATAGCTCCTGCAAATTGTCAAGCCTGTTTTGCTCCAAAGAACTAATTTTATGTAATAGGTGGCACTTGAGAGTGCCTTTTGCTCTACAATACAATCAGGCACTTCCATCTTTCCCCTTCTTTCCAGTTTAAGCCCTTTTGGAAGGCAAAAGATTGCAAGAGTTACAGTAACTGAACCAAAATTTGGCTTAGTGCGTGTCAGCATCTCACAAACTTCTGGAAGCCCAGACACCTTAAAGGAAATGAAACCATCTTCAATTAACTGCCTAAGTATTTGCCAGCCAATGTCCACGTGCAGTTGTTAATTCTGTTTTTCATAAACCACAGCCCAGCTCTCTCTGGGCTGCCCCTCGGTAACTCCAGCGACTCGCAGAGATCCACCTGCACACCCAGAGTCACTGGGGGCATCCAAGCTGACACTCACTCAAACCTTTCACAGGTTCCCCTCCTGCTCTTCTGTTTCAGGCTCTCTGCAAAGCCAGCTCTGTTGTTCAAGCACTGCTGAAGACATGACCCCATCCCTGAGCAGTGTCATCCTTTTAATTAAAGCTGCAGCTCAGGGCAGCCCTGCTCCCGTTATCCAGAAAGCTCCGTGAATTCCTCTGCACCACCATCAGGTACCAGAGCACAGCCTCGAGGGGACAGCACACATTCTGTGTTTTTCAGGAGCATTTGCTGTAGTTCTGTTTCACATCTTTCATGTAAATTCTATTACAAAACTCTGGGTTGCAAAACACAGAAGTTTCCTACAAGAACAAAACAATAACAACTAAATTTAATTACACACTTCCGAAGATGAAGTAAGTGACAGGTTTGCATCCAATTAGAATAGACAAAAAACTTGGTGGAACTTAGAAAATGTTTTCTCGATTAGCAATACTATGCATACTTTCTAAACAGCTGGTTCCAGGCACTCGGGAGCTGCATTAATCTGAGCACTGATATTTCCAGACAGTGTTAAGTACAAAACACAATCACTGCATTATCACTGTCCTAAAGTATTCACCTCCTAAGAGCATGCGCTGCACGTCAAGCTCAGAGATTCTGAATTTCTTACTAGTTTGATAAGACATTTCAAAGTAATTTTGGGGTATAAAAAAATTATAAATTACTGCCTTCAGTAAAACACCAGTCATAAATTAAAGACTCTGTCAGAAGAGTAACTGAAGAAGATAATTTCTCTAGATACTGGGATTTTTAAATGTGTATTTCTTATTCACCTTCAGAATGTTATATTCATAAATTTTGTGCCATTTTTCATAACGGTACAGGAGAGAACTACACAGTTTTGTATTCCAAAATATTTTTGCAAGGTTTTCTAGTGAGGTTTTTGAGTCCTACATTTTTCTTTAGAAACCTGAAAATTAAAATACTTGGACAAATTAAACATGAGATGCATCAGTCCTCAACTAAGCAACACAAAAATACAGTTGAAACTTTAATTATCCAACATAAATATAACACATGACATCTGCAGCCAGCATTTTTTTATTTAAGATTTAAATGACCTGAGCAGTTAATCAAGACCAACTTTCCAAGCACTCAGGAAAGGGCTGAAGTACACAGAGCAGCAGCTATTTGTTGTAGCACTTTAACAATACAGGAGGGAGAAAAAGACATCTGTAGCCTGAAACTCAATTTTTTTCATGATTAACAGGTAAAGGTATGTAGTATAGGCTATTATAGCAGCCTTAGTTCTCAGCCTATTAAATCTGTATAACCCACCTACACTACTATACCCACATACACTACATCTACTATTTTACACTACTGTGAAAACTGCTCATTTTAGAGAAAGAATGATTTAAAATATAGTTTGCCAGAGCAGACATAACAATGAGACATATCCATACACTTACAATCTCCCTGATTTCCCTAGCCCCCTTCTTCCAAGATAACATCAGTCTGTTCTTTGGAAGCACAAATTAACTTCACCACAGCTATCATGCTTAAAAATCACAAACAAACACTGCAAAACCCACTGAAGATTCCCATCCCATTAAGAGACTTTCAGGACTGTGTGTGCTTGTCATGTGGTTTGTTTCATCTTAATTTGTTGATATAGTTATTATTCCTGCTAGCACAGCTTCAGACTTCCCCCAGCTCCAAGCAGCAACTGCATCTCCTGCAGCTGACTCTCCACTGCCAGGTTAGTGACCATCTTTGACATCACTTCCCATATTTCTAACACAAGTCAGGAAGCAGCTTCAGGTTTTCCTCCGAACATGACTTTGCAGACTCATGTCCCTGCTATGAACAGAACAGTTCTCATCTCTCCCTGTGCTTTCACAGTGGGTTTTACAGGCTGGTACCTGTGTCCTCTCTCTGCACCATTTTGCCATTCTTTCCCCTTCCTTCCGTGTACTCTCCACCCAGCAGAGGAGCATCTACCCCTCTGTGGCTTCAGAAACCGATTATACCTAATTAAATTAAGCACTTTTTTCCTCAGCTCATACTCAGCTTTGAGACTTACCCTGATTCTATTTCAGAACTGAAAACCATCCTGGAAAATCATGTACTTTCCAAGCTACAATAACCAGCCTAATAAAAGACAACATTCTCAACTGTATAATTAAGAGGAGGGAACGGATCAGAGGCTTATTTTGCATTAGTTCAGATAATATTACACAAAAACTAGTTTACCACATCTATAGCTGGTAGCAATTTTGATGTTTTTTGCAATTTCCAAGAGAAATCAAACTAAAAATTAAAGAAGTTGTCTCAGCAACAAGTGCAAAATTAAAAAAGCAGATGCAACAAAAAAATCCGGATGGGGAAACGAGCAATACCTACGAAGTATGACACGAAAAGCACCTGATGACTTTGCACTTTTCCTAAAGACGGGGAGCACCTTCCGACTCACCTTTGCCACAACAGTCACGCGAGGCGTGCGAGCCGCAGCCCCCGCCCGTTTAGGAGCGCCGGGACCCGAGCGGGACCCGGGCTGCTCCAGCCAGGCACAGACCCGGGAGCGGAGCTTGCCCAGCCCGGGAGCGGCGGGTCGCTGCCCGCAGCACTCACCGGAGCCAGGGCCGGTGCAGCGATGCTGCCGGGCCGGGCGGAGCGCAGTGCCCCGGCCCGCCCTGCCCAGCCGGGCCGCCCCGCAGCCCCGGTGCGCCACCGAGCCCGACCCGGCGGCACCTTGGGTCGCTGCCCCCGCCCCGCCCGCTCCTCACCTCCCGGCCCGGGGTACCGAGCGTCTCCTTCCCTCCGCACCCGGCCCCACCTCGGGGGCCCTGCCCCGGCCCCTCCCTTCCCCGCGGAGCCCGGGCGCTGCGCCCGCGCTCCGGGGCGGGCGGGACGGCACCGGGT